CAAGGGGGCTGCCCAGGGAGGTGGTGGAGTCCCCATCCCTGGAGGTGCCCGAGGAACGACTGGATGTGGCACTCAGTGCCAAAAGAACAAACGAGATTGTGTCCAACTTTATAAATAAATACTGAGAGCTGCACAGCAAGGCACAGACTCCAGGTGCCAGGTGATCCCTCCCTCCCGCCTGCTGCACCTCCACCCCTCCGGAGGCAGCTCTGTCACCACATGCTGTGACTCCACCACAGACAGGCTTCAACCACACATACCCAGAGGGAAATCAAGAGTTTAATCTAGACCAGCAGAACCAACAAGCTGGAACATGTGCATTTCAATGAAGTGTCTTCAGCTCAACCTTTGTACATTGCCCTGCAGATGCCCCAAAGTGTTTGCTGTTACTTTAAGCTGTGATAAAAACCCTTTGAAATTTTGCTACCGTTTCTTTCCACTCTATTTCCAGCTCCCAGCACTCAGGATACCACTCTCAACCATCTCAAAAACAGAAGTCAACAGCATCAAAAATATTAGGAAAATATTCTTCAGGAATATTAAGATAATATTAGGAAAAAAATCTTCCCTATGAGGGTGATGAGGCCCTGGCACAGGTTGCCCAGAGAAGCTGGGCAACGCCAGCCCCATCCCTGGAAGTGTCCAAGGCCAGGTTGGACAGGGCTTGGAGCACCCTGGGATAGTGGAAAGTGTCCGTGCCTGTGGGGGTGGGACCAGATGCGCTTTGAGGTCCCTCCCAACCCAAACCAGTCTGCGATTCTGTGATCAAGTCTACAACAAATTTTTGTTCCCATATCCAAAGGAACTGGAGATTTGGCAGAGGCTGCATTTATTCCAAATCCCTGGTGTGTGGTCCCCTCCGGGTAGTGGCTGCTGCATCACCATCCCCTTCTCCTTCCAGTTCTGGGGTGTCCCTACAGACTCCACACCTAAACTACTGATGTGCCCCGATCCTGTTCACCCCACAAGACGTGGAGTGGCTGGAGGGGGGCTGCATCTCCCCGTGAGGTGCTCCGACAGATTTCCTGAGAAACCCGGAACTACCTCCGAGGAGCAGCAGCACAACGCCAGCCCCCGGCCGGGCTCGGCCGCCGTGGCCCGCCCTCACCCCCGTGCCCGTGGGGGCTTGTGGCCCGTCCTGGGGCAGCGCAGGGACCCCACAGCCGGGACCGGGCGCTGCCTCGGGGACACCGGAACCCCCCGGGCGGGGCCCCCTTCCCCTGCACCCCCATCCCGAGACCTCAGCCCCCCCCCTCACCCCCCGCAGCCCCAGCCCGCCCCCTTCCCTCTCGGCCCCCCTTGTCCCCCCCACTCCCCTCAGCCCCCTCAGTCCCCCGAGGGGCCGGGAACCACCCCGCCCCGCGCGGGGCCTCACCTCCTCCAGGAACCGGGTGACATCGTAGACGCGCCCATGGATGACCAGCCAGGCCTCGCGGCTGGAGCTGCGCTTTCCCACCTCCTCCAGGGTGAACACGGGCCCGGGCCCGTCCCCTCCCGCCGCCGCGGCCTCCCCGCGCCGCCCGCCCTCCATGCTGCCCGGCGGCCCTGCGCGGAACGCGCGACCTGGCCCGCGCCGGCCGCCGTAGCGATGGCGACTGCTCGCGCAGCTCCAGCCGCGCCCGGCGGCCAATGGGGAGCGAACGCTATGGGGGCGCTGTCGGCGCAGCCAATGGGAGCGCGCGACGGCGGGCGCAGGCCAATGGGGAGCGGCCGCGGCGAAGGGCGGGAAACACCGCGCGAGCCGCGCCTCAGACGACGGGAGCGGTCACGGCGCTCCTGGACGGGACACTAAGCCCCGGCTCCCCGGTACCGGCTTCGAGCCGCCCTGCCGCTCCCGTGCCGCCGGAGAGCGCGGTGCTGTCGGCAGCCCGCCCGCAGCGGTGCCTGCGGTCCGCCCCAGCCTCTGGTAACTCCCCCCTTCCGGCCTGGGGCGGGTGGAGGGAGCTCGGGATCCCTTGGGAAGCCTCTGATCCTGCCAGGGGCCGCCCGAGCCGCAGGTCCCTCCCGCAGCCGATCCTCGGACAGTCTCCGGGGCGGGGAGGCCGGGGCGGCTCTGCCCAAGGATCAGTTCAAGCCACCTGCAGCAGGTGCAGGGACACAGGCAGCTGCTGTTTGATCAGTGTATGTGATGTGTGCTGGCAGGAATTACCTGCCAGGGTCCCCTGGCAGAGCCGTAGCTCTCTGATAGGGTTCGGATTCCCGTGGGAACAGCTTTTCCACTGCTCCTTTTGTTTTGGTTCTTCCTGTGTGTATATAAAACAGATGTCATCTCACGAGTCTTTAAACTGAGCCAGTGGAGGAGCAGCACATCTACAGCTCCTGATTTTTACCAGCTTCTAAAGCAAAGTTCACATGCAGGTCTGATGTGAGGTGCTGAACAATTCTCCCTCCAACCACTTTGAACAGGCTCAGGGACCCGAGCAACTTGTGAGCCTAGTGGTTTTCCTTTATGAACTGGCATTTGTGGAATTTATTTCCTTGCCCTTGCAGCACAGGTACAAGGCTGGGCAGTGGGTGTTTGTTTAACAACTGCTGAGGAGGCAGAAACGCTGAGTTGTCAATGCTAAACTCTGACCAGCACTGGCTGAAGGTGTGTGCAGGAAGAGTCTGATGGGCTCCCTGCTGGGCAGGCTGCTAAAATCCCTCTGGATTTTAAAGGGAGCTCAAGTGAAGTGCCTGTACCTGCTGCCACTGAGCTGGGATCTCTGTGGGAATGAGACATCCCTAATGCTGCAGTTCAGATGTGGCAGCTCCAGGATGTTTCCCTATCCATGCTGTGTGTCCACGTCCTGTACAAAGACAGGGTGGCTGCCTGCAGGTCCAGGCTGTGTGTCACAAGCCTGCCAGGTCACTCTAGTTGGAGAGAAAGGTATTTTATATTTTTGGATGGATAGAAATGGCTCCAGTGGTGCCACAGCTTCTCTTGGCAAGCTGTGCCAGGGCCTCACCCCCCTGGGTGCACTAGCTGGTTTGCTCCTGCATCCTGGCTTTCCAGGCACAGCAGTGGCACAGTTAACGATGGTGGTACCCAAGGAGCTCTCTATGGATTCACTGGGACCAGAACTCTGGCCCTGCTCTCCCTCCCCACCACCAGGCCCAGACACAGGTCCGAGATGTGCCGTGTCTGTGGAGAGCAAAACCTTGGGGCCAGGGGCTGCTGTCCTGCCTGGAGCTCCAACACAGCGAGAGCAGAGCACGGTGACCAGGGCCCCATGATTTTCCTGTCCTGTTTCCCACTGTAACTCATCCAGAAGGATGTGACAGGCACGAGACCGCGGCAACGTGCAGATCCTGTTCCCTGGAAAGTTTTCTTTCATCTGTAATCACTTAATCAAAGGCCATAAATCAGTGAGGGAAGGCTCAAATGCACAAGCATGGCTGCAATTTGTGCTTTCCTGCCCAGTGTTTTGTTTGGCATGTGAAACTCCAAAACTTTTCCTGAAAAAGTGATGATGACACTGTGGGAGGATTTGTGAAACTGAACAGTGAGGCCCCTTGCATTCCAGGTCCACTTCCATCATCCCTGCTTCCTTTTCTTTCATTGTAGAAGATTCAGGGAGCAAACCAGTGGGTTTATTTACTCTGGAATTCACCATTCCAGGCTGGTTTTCCACTCCTGGGTTCTGTTAACACACCATTGGCCCAGGCAGGCCTCTGTCACCTCCTCCTGCATCTTGTGAGAGAGAAAGAGCAAACCCACTTTGCCCATGACAATTCCACATGGAAAACCATTTGACCCAAAGCACGGTGCTGTCACCTCCCCTCAGCCCAGGAAGGTGCTGTGGGTATTGCTCCCACATCCTTCTGAACACCCTCCACCACATTCTGAGTTCAGCTGGGACATGTCCTGCTCCAACTTCACTCCCCAGGGCAGCCACCCCACCCCAGGTGACCCTTCTGCCTCCCAGTAATTATTTTTACCTCCCTTTGTTTGCCAATAAAAATCCCTCCCAGTTTTACAGTTTTCCATCTGACACATGGATTTTTCCCTGTGTCGTTTCCTCCTCCCCTGGCCAGGGCGGAGGGAAGGGAGGATCCCAGATCACCTCATGCCAGAGGAATTTTCACGTGCTTTTCCACCTCAGGTGAGAGCCCCCAGGACAGTGTCAGGGATATTCCTGGGGCCAAGGAGACACCCCAGAGTGGCAGAGAACTACCCTGTAATCCCAAGGACTTGCTTGCCAAAACCTTCGCCTGCAGGCACCGATTCTGCTTGGGAATCACTCAGTGGGATCACTGTGAAAATAGGACTTCTGATTCATTACCCAAACTCTGAGAGACTGTGGGATGGTCTCTGCCCCAAAATCCTGCCCCAGGGACCTGGTTTGCTGTGCCAGGCGAGGGGAGTGGGATTGACAGGTGGCTGGAGCACAGGGAACAGGAATGTGTGGGAACATCCCTGCTGTTTGAAAGACCAGAATAAAGGGAAACCCCCAAATAAAAGTACAAAATAACAATTTCTGTATAACACTTGGAGGGTTCTGCCACATTTACCAATGAAGGTCTGGCTCAAGCTGTAACATCCCAGGTCAGGTGTGGTGCTCCCTGTCCCCTGCCCTGAGGTGCAGCCCAGTGCACTGTCTGTCCCCGTTCCTGGCGGGAATGCCGAGCAGCAGCTCCGTAGGGATGGCCCACCCTTCAGAACGCACCTGGCCCTGCTCCCCGTGTCCGTGCCAGCAGGGTGGCACTGGCTGCTCTGGTGACACGAATTTAACACACCTGGGCCTGGCCAGGTGAGGCTCACTTGGGGGTCTCAGCACTTCCAGGTGGGCACTTGCCTGCTGTCGATCCTGCTGGGTGGGCAGTGGGACATTCCTGAGCCCAAGGGACACGGCTGTGCCCCTTCCCGCAGTTCCCTTCCCGCCCACCAGAGGGCGCCCTGCCCTTCCTGGCGTGGCCGGCGCGGTGCACGCCGGGAGCTGTAGGCTGTGCTGGCGCGGTGTGCACCGGGACCTGTAGGCGGTGCTGGTGGTCGCACGTCCGGTGCGTCAGTTCCCGGCGGGATGGCGGCGCGGCGGGGGCGGGCGGCACGGCGGGAGCAGTTCCCGGGCCCGCCCGGGATGGCGGCGCTGCGCGAGGAGACCGTGAACGGCTGGGTCCTGCAATTCTACTTCCACCGCGCCATGGAGGCCTATCGCTCCGGGCGCCACCGCGAATTCCGCCAGCTCCGCGATATCATGCAGGGTGCGGGGGGCGGGGCCGGCCCGGGCGGGGGGCGCGGGGCGGCCGGATCGAGCTGCACCGTCCTCACCTGCCTCTCGTCCTGCAGCGCTGCTCGTGCGACCCCTGGACAAGGAGCCGGCGGTGGCCCAGATGCTGCGGATAATGCAGCTGCTGTCGCGGATCGAGGAGGGCGAGAACCTCGGTAGGTGCCCGGCCTTTCCCGCGAGCCCCGCTGCGTGCCCTGGGCTGTGTCCGTGCCCCTGCGGCTCCCGGAGCAGTGTCCCTGTGCAGGGCAGAGCTCGGGGTTGTGTCCATGCCCCTGCGCTGCCCTGAGCCTGTGGGGCTGTGGGGGCTCTCCCTGGGGGTAAGGGGCAGCTGTTCGTGCCTGTGTCTCGCTGCTGGGGCCAAGAGCAGCATCCGTGGTGCTCCAGGGCTGGCCTGGTGTCCACGCACACCAGCCTGTTGACTCCTGCTCAGCTTTGGAGCTTCCAAAATGCTCTCATGGGTCAGTGCTGGACACCTGGGAAGTTCTCAGGTGGTGCTTCTGGAGCTTTCCATGGCTTGGGGAATATCCCCCTTGAGGCAGGGGAAAATTGCTGTTCAGATACTGGGCAGTGCCTCATCTTCAGCCTCAGTAGCCCTGGAATTTGTAAGCAGCCTGGGCAGGTGTAGAGCTCCCACCTGGGCAGGTGTATAACCAGCTCTCTGCAGGGAAGCACTGTCAGCCCTCCCCAACCTCCTGGATGACAATTCTTGTAGATTGTACCTTCGACAAGGAGTCGGAGCTGACCCCGCTTGAGTCGGCCCTCGCCGTCCTGGAGCTCGTCCACAAGGAATTCTCCATGCCGGAGAAGACGGTGGAGACTGTGCAGAAAATGGTTAAGGAAGCTGTAAGAACTTTTTCTTCCTCAAGAAATGCTTTGTGCAGCTTTTGCCTTGGAAAGGTCCTGTGTGGATGATGGTGGGAGCTTCCTTACATGTGGGATTCCCTCGTTAGCTGCAAACTCACGTCCACAGTGATGTGTAAGTTGGCTCTGAGTTGTTTCCTGTGCCCTCCTCCAAACTGTCCTTGTTTTCCTCTGCAGGCTGTTATTGTCTGCATCAAAAACAAAGAGTTTGATAAAGCTTCCAAAATTGTCAAGAGGCACATGGGGAAGGATCCCAAGAACCAGGTGAGTATGTGTTCGAATAGAGTGGGGGTTGTCTGATGTATCCTGGGTGGTGTTTGGGGGGATCTGATGTGCCCTGGGGTGAGGATGCCAAAATGGAAGCAGTCCTCCTGGAGTGATGGACCCTCAGTGTTGCACATTTAGGCTATCACCTTGGAGCCCCCTCTGTGACTCATTTTTCCTCCGTGGGTCTTCCAGGCATCCCCATTTATCCCTTGATGAGCCTCAAACTTGCATCTAGAGCTGGTTCTGGGGGCAGCAGGAATTCCCATTCCTGTTTCTGCAGGCACTGGGGTGCTTGGGCACTGGAGGCAAGGAGAATTCCTGAAATAAGGTGGCTCTGCTGTTTCTTTTTCTGTTCCTCTGGCCTTTTCCCAGCCTCATTGCAGTGTAAATTGGTTGTGCCTGGAGAAAGGCAGGAAAGCAGGAAAGGCCCAGATCCTTGCTGTGATTGTCATTGTTCCCCTTGTCCCTGTGCAGTGTTCTTACTGGATTCTACAATTCCTTCCCCTAGAAAAAGAGGAACGAGTGGCTGGCTGTCATCCGGGAGAAGAATCTCTCTCATCCAAAGGTCAAAAACTTCTCCTACAAGGACTTCCAGCAGAGCATGTTTGAGTTCCTGAAGATCTATGTGGACGACTCGGAGCCGCTGCTGCTGACAGTGCGTGTCCACCCCAGTCCCCTGGAGCTGAGGTGCCCAATTAGCAGAGAGTTAAATCCAGAATACTTTAAATTCAGTCCATCCCTAAAAGATTTATATGGTTGAACATGTTTTTCTATCGTTGAAATGCCTTTGGGAGGGGATAAAATGGGATCAGAGCACAAGGAATCACCTCTGTAACAGTGCTGTGCTTTTTCTCTCTCCAAGGTAATGAAAAAGACTTTGAATTTGGAACACATCGATGAACCAAAATCCTTGTCGGTGACTCCCAAGTCTGCAGATGGGCCAAAGGACCAGACAGCAACTCCAGAGGCCTTGGGAAGGGCAGAGGGTCCCACTGGAGCCCCAGAGCCTGCAGGAGCAGCAGAAGAGCCAGAGGGAGCTGCCAGCCCTGCAGAAAGGGCAGCACATCCCTCAGTGGCTCCAGAGGCCATGGAAGGAGGCAGTGGCCCTGCAGCAGCTCCAGAACCTATGGAAGTAGCCACTGACCCAGCAGCAACTCCTGATCATTTAACAGCAGAGCCTGATGTCCTGAAGGATACTCCAGAGCCTGTGAAAATAGCTAAAGAACCAGCAGCAGTAACTGCAGAACTCCCAGGAGTGTCCACCAGGGACACAGAAAGGTGGGCAGGGGAGTCTGCCCCTGGACTGTGGATGAAGTGTGGCCACAGTTCTCTTCCATGGGATAATCCCTTGTGTCCAGGCAGCTCCTAACTCCCCAGATGCCAGCCAGGCCAGCCCAAAGGTGTTGGTGCAGGACTGCGGATCCCAGGAAAAGTGTTGAGGTGGTTTGGTTGCTGTTGTGACCAGGGAGGGGGGCAGTGGCTACAGAAGGTTTGCTCCTGTGGAGCAGAGCTGGAATCCCTGTGGTTCAGCACTTAGTTGGGAATAGGAGGGCAGCAATGGAGCATGGACATGTGTTCTTCAAACCTGCTTCCTGGGACACTGCACTGTTCAGGAGGCCGGACAGGCAGGTTGGGAATTCCTCTTCCTCGGAGTCCATAGGGCAGGTGTTGGGGGTCCCAGCGGAGGGAGAGGCCGGATTTCGGGGCAGCAGAGCTCCCGTGGTGGTTTCTCTACAACCTGCTCGGTTGTGTTTATTTTGTAGGCAGCCCCCCGGAGCTGTAACCTCGTGTGGGATTTCTGTTCTGAGAGAAGCTTTCAAGATCCTGTCCGACTCCCAGGACTCTGATGCACTCTTCACCAAACTGGACGAAACAGACTTTACCTTCCCCAAGCAACTGTCTCCTTCTGTATCCCACAGAACCAAGAGACGGCAAGAAGTGGAGAATCAAGATTCTGAGATCTCAGACCCTCCTAAAATACCCCATAAGGGCAAACGCTTGTTCACCATAAGCAAACTGGTAATGGAGACAGACAACCAGTCCAGCAAGTCGAGTGAGAGCCCTGACTCTTCCCAGGAGCCCGTGGTCTCTTCTGCCTCCAGACCCAGACCTGTTCAGAAATTGCATGACCAGCCAGTGACTACTGAGAGTGCCAAGTATGGAGCCCCTGTCTTGTGGTATAGTCTGCTCTGCCCCCACTTTTGTCTTGCAGCTGATGTCAGTAGTGTTAGCACCAACTTCTTGCTCTTTAATCCAAAGTGACAGTATTGACCTTGTCCACCAGCACACATGGAACTGGGCACAGCAAACTCTCTCTTGTCCTCACATTTGGCTTTAAAATTAATTATGGGTTAATGGAGAGGAGAAAACGATCCAGCTCCCACTGGCAGTGAGGTGCTAAAGGTAATCCTAGCAGGTGATTCCAGTGCAGGTAACACGCATTCCTCTGCACTTTTCCCAGCTTCAGCATAACTGCCTAGAGTTTGTAGGAGCATCCTGTGGAACAGGTTAAACTCTGCTTTCCACCTCTTGAGAAACACAATGTCCACAGGCTGGCTCTCTGTGCTGGGTGGCCCTGCACCTCTTCCCCAAAACCCTTCTCCTGAGCAGTAGCCAGAGTAAATCCTCATCTGCTTTCAGGTCCTTCCAGGGAAGGTGGAACAGCTCCCGTGGTGTGGAAGAAAAGGACAGTTGGAGTGAGGAGGATGAGCTCTTCTCAGATGCAGGTAAGAACAAAGTCCCCTGGCAGGGGTTACCTGGTGCTAATCCTGGCTTGGGGGTCACTCACAGGGGTCTTGCTACCAAGGGTGACTGAATTTTGAAACCAGAAATCCAGTAGAAAGGTTGGGAGAAAGGAACTGGGGTTTATTGCCTGTCATGGGGTGCTCTGACTGCACAGCTCAGCAGTTAAGCCTGAGGCAGCCTTTTGAGAAGATCTGTACCTCCCAAATTATGGGGTATGTAACCCTCTTCCTTGTTTTCCAGCATCAGTTGGGACAAACAACACCACAGTATTCAGCTCCAAGAAACAGGTATGTAAAGCCTTAGGTGCTTCCAGCAGGGCCTAAAACAGGGCTGTGTCTGTACAGTCTCTGTGGTAAAACAGCCCTGTTTGGAAGTTGGCTGGAGCTGGGCACCAGCAATGTGCCTCAGGCACCTTTGCCTTGACAGCTCAGAGCCAGGTTTGCCAAATGCCCCTTGTGCTGGAGGGATTTAGAGCCTTGTTCAGGTGAGGGGGACATGTCTGGCAGCTGTTACCTGGAAAAAGGTCCCAAGGCTGGTGCCACGAGGAACTCTCCCCCTGAGCCGTAGGAAGGCAGCTGCTGGCTCTTGTGCTGCTGCACTATATCTGTAGTGCTGGAGTGTTGTGTGTGCAGCTGCCAGGACCTGTCTGCCTTCCCTGCCTGTCCTGGCACAGGGAAGGAACAGTCCAGGAAGGAGCTGCAGCAGCTTCTCTTCTGTGCAGCTCTTTCCTGAACCTGCTCACCTGCTCTTTGTAGAAATGGACGATCCAGGAGAGCGAGTGGATCAAGCAAGGTGTGAAGAAGTTTGGAGAGGGGAGATGGAAGGCCATTTGCCAGAAGTACCCGTTCCAGAACCGCACAGCAGTGATGATCAAGGACCGCTGGCGGACCATGAAGAAACAGGGAATCCTCTGAAGCTGGGAGCCCTGGGACATTTCATGCAAAAACCTCGTTTTGTTTTTTGGAAGCTGGACCAGAGTGCCAGTACAGGGAGGCTGTCTCAGTATGGGGAACTCCTCTGGCACCCCAAAACCAGGACTGCCAGGAACCCAGGAGCCTTGTTCTCCAGCTGGAGCTGCAAAGATCAGTCTGCTGCAGGTGGTAGAGGCTGTGCAGCCTCTCTGCATGTGCCTGGATGGAGATTTCCTTGTTCTCCTGACCACTGCAGCCTCTGTGGGATGAGTCCCAGCTGGATTGCTCTGCTCAGGTACTGTAAATCAGCAGGATTATTCCTGTCTGATCTCTGAATCACTTTTTCACCCATTTGCCATCACTCCCTCGTAGGAGAGAGGCAGCACTGAGTCGCAGAGTTCCTGGGGGGAACAGGCATTTCTTTCTGCTTTGTAAATGACTAATAGTGAGGGGAAAATCCTCCCTCCCAGCTCTGAGACTTTAGAACATTATTTTGTGTTTCAGTACTTAGAAATGTTGGTTGTTTCCATGTTAAAAGTTCCAGTTCTGGCTGACTTTGGCCATGTCTTCCTGGCACTTTTCCCAGTAATGTCCTTTTACCATGTGCAATCCCTGTGAGCACATGAGCTCCAAGGGCGCTGCGTGTTCCTGCCTTCAGCTGCCAAAGCTGGAATCCATGTCCAAACAGTTACTTGTAAAATAAAATCCCTTTCTTCTGGATACCAAGAGTTTTAAAAAATAAACTCCCTTTCTTTTTGGATATCAAGAGTTGTAAAAAATAAAGTCCCTTTCTTGTTGGATATCAGGAGTTTGTAAAAGTAAATTTGTATCTTGTGGGTGGAAATGCAGCAGTATGGGGCACGGACTGCCCTAGGAATGTGGGGCTCCTTTTTCCCCTCTGGGAGTGTTGGGGCAGGAGCAGCACTGTCCTGTAGGTGTAGGTGGTGAGAAACAGGAGTTTCTGGCTTAGATTTCTGTGGAGTAAGGGCAGGGGATATAGAGGGGCATTTCCTAAACTTAGTTTTAGGATTCTCTGGCTATGTTCCAGCAGAGCCATGGCTGGGAGAACTCTGTCTGGGAACACCTGCTTCCCCCTCTGTCCTTCAGCCACAGGTGCTGCACGGAGTGTCCCTTGTCCCTCAGCTGTGGCCATGCATTTCCCTCTCTTTCTGCCTGTAAATCCTTTCCCTGGGGCTGGAGCAGCCCTGGGCAGCAGGAGCACGGGGGCAGAGAGGCTCAATGTGGGCCAGTAATGGCCCATGTGAGGCAATGCCAGTTGGTTGTGCCCTATTGGAAGGAGCTGTGACCCGCTATGCCCTTCTCCAGGCTGGGCCCTCGGCAGCAGAGGGTGTCCCAGAGCTCCTGCTCCACACCAGAATCACCTTGAGCCATGGAGCCTGTGCCGCGCTCCTCCTGGTGCTGCGGAGCAGTTAATGATTACCCCCCAGCCACCTCGTCCTCCTCTGCCCTGCCCGGCAGGAGCGACGGAGCCCAGGGAGCAGGATGCTGCTGCTGCTGCTCTTGGTGCTGCCAGGCCCCGCCGGCTGCCCCCGCACGGAGCCCCTGAGCGGGTCCAGCCCAGAGCCGCTGTTCCGTGGGGCCGATCGCTACGACTTCGCCGTCGTCATTCCCGGCGGCACCGTGGAGTGCTTCTGGCAGTTCTCACACCAGGGCGGCAACTTCTTCTTCAGCTACGAGGTGAGTGTTGGGAGATGTGTCCTGGAAAGTTGCTGACATAGGGAATGGCTGTGCTGGATCAGTTGCATGTAGCAGGTGCTGTGGCACACCACCCCTCAGGGCTGTGCCTTTTCTATGCAATATCATGGAATAGTTTGGGTGGGAAGGGACCTTAAAGCTCATCCCATTCCACCCCATGCCATGGGCAGTGACACCTTCCACTAGATAAGGTTGCTCCAAGCCCTGTCCAACCTGATCTTGGACACTTCCAAGGATAGGGCAGCCACAGCTTCTTTGGGCAGCCTTTGGCCTGCCAAGGCCTCACCATCCTCACAGGGAAGAATTTCTTCCCAATATCTAATCTAATCTCTATCCATCATCAATCCCATGCATTTTTTTGAATAGCTGGTTTAAAACCACAAAGTGGTGCTGGGAGCTCTGGACATGGTGCCTGAGCACCCCGAGCTCACTCACAGAGAGCTGTGGGGTGTCCTGGCACTGTGGGGAGCTCTGCCCTTCGCTGTCTGGCTGGACACTGTGGCATAGCTGAAAGTCCCAGCACAGTGTGTCCCCATGCTCTGTCCCCTTCCTGCAGGGAAACTCCAGCCCTTTTATCTCCTGCTTACACTGGGTTGGCTGAAGGAGAGCCAGGGCATGGCTGTGCCTGGAGCTGGCACCTTCCCCTCGGCTCTGCACTTGGCAGAGCAGCCCCCCAGGAACACAGCCTTGGGGCTCAGCACAGCTCTATCCCCAACACACCAGTGGCCCACAAATTCCCTTTGAGTGTTCTCTGCCTCCAGGTCCAGCGGGCAACGGGGATTGGCAACAGCAGGAACATCTTGGTCACGGCGAGTGACCCCAATGGCTTCCAGCTTGGAGCCTCCCAGGACGTGCGAGGGCAGATCAACTTCCTCACCAAGGACACAGGTTCCCCCCTGCCCTGGCCCCTGCAGCTCCGAGCTGCAGCTCCGAGCCTTCCTGAGTGCCGATTGCTCCCAGATGGGATGGATGAGGGTCGAGCACCGGGGATGTGTCTGCCTGGTGCCCTTCTACCCATGGACCAACAACCCTCATTTCTCTCTGCAGGTTTCTACGAGCTGTGCCTGGACAACCAGCAAAACCACTTTGGCTTCATGCAGGTGTATCTCAACTTCGGTGTCTACTACGACGACTTCAACATGGAACACAAGCAGCCTGTGGAGAAGAAGGAGCTGAATGACACGCTGGAGGCAATCAAGGTGAGGGTCAGGGTGGCCACGGGGTGTCCCAGGACAGGGGGGATGGGCACGTCCTGCCCAGGGGACTGAGAAGGGCGTTTGCTCTGGCTGAACTGCTGCTGAATGCAGCACTGAGCCCAGCAGGCAGCTCCAAGCACAGCTCTGCCTCTCCTGCAGATCAGCATCCAGAGGCTGCAGATCCACACCTTCCACATGTGGCGTTTCTACAACTTTGCCCGGATGCGGAAAGGGGCTGACTCCTTCCTTCTGGAGTCCAACTACAACTATGTCAACTGGTGGTCGATGGCCCAGAGCTGTGTCATCGTCCTCTCCGGGGTGCTGCAGCTCTACTTCCTCAAGCGCCTCTTCCATGCACAAACCTCTGGCAGCCAGAAATGCTAGAACAGGGCAGGGCTGCCAGTGCCTGGTGACCCCGCTGTGGAGTGGGAGGAAAGGCCAGATCCTGCTTCCAGGAAGAGCTCCACTCCTGCCTCCAGCTCTACCCCTAAAATCATCCCCAGAGAAGCCAAGCATCACACTGTCACCTGAACTTTGTGTGGCAGAAGTGTTTGTCACATCCCTGCCCATCATTAGTGTCCCACTGGGCCTTTTCTACCAGACTCCCAATAAAGGAACCTCTGGCACATTCTGGGAAACGATCACTGTCTGTTGCTGCTGTCCAGCTTCTGTGAGCCCAGGGGCAGTGGCCTGCCCATCTCCCCCTCCCTGAACCTCAGCCCAGGGCTGTAAGCTTCCTCCTGAGATTCCCCCTGGCCTCATCCATCCCCCAAACATGTTGGTTCCCCTCTCTGGAGCTGCATCCCAGTGCACTGTGCCTGCCCCAGGAGAACAGAGAACCGCAGGAGGGGCAAAGGCTGAACCCCCCGATGCTCTGCACCAGACAACAGGCACTAGGAAAAGCAAGAGGCTTTATGTGACAAGGCTGGTGCAGAGGCACCTTCCCCCATGCTGGCAGCAGCCCCCCCAGGGCTGTGGGGCCGTGTACTGGCAGCTCCCTCCCTCTCCATCCCATTTGGGGTGGGCTCCCTGTGGCTTCCCACACCCGCAGTCCAGGACAAGGTCCATTCTGCTCAGGAACACTTGCAGGGCATGCAGGTCCCTTCAGGTTCCTGGAATCCCTTAGGTCAGCGTGTCCTCGTTCCGCACATACTCTCCGACATCGGCTTGGTGGAACACCACGATGGCCAAGGGATCCACCTTCCGGCACTCCTGCGTGGACTTGGCAGCCACCCCAAAGCCCTGGTGGGATGAAGGGGGGGTGAGAGGGACTTCTCCCACCCTGTACCCACCCCACAGCTGTGGCAGGCCCCGGGCGCTCACCAGCGGGACGTCAGCCATGGAATACACCACGACGCCCTGGTACTGCGCCGTGTTCTCCGTGATGCGGCCCAGCCCCGACTTCAGCACGTGGTTCCCATAGAGGAAGGACTGCTCTGAGCCAGGCTTCACCCACACCTTGAACTGTAAGAGAGGGCAGAGTGGTGAGGGGTTGGGGGCTGCTGGGGGGTGCTGGCACGGGCTGGGGGTGGCTGGGGGGGCTGTGTCCCACCTTGGCATAGGGCGCAAGGAAGTCCAGGGCCGTGACACTGAGCCGGAACTTCTGGGACTTGGTGAACTTCCCGAAGCAGGTGCCCGGGGCTACCAGGCTGTCCCGGGGGATGCTGGCCGCCAGCTTCAGCAACTTCTCACTGCGGGAGCAGGGCAGTGCTGGGAGGCTGCGGGGCCGCCGCCCCGCGCAGGCTGCCCCAGAGCCCCCCGCGCCCCCGGGGCTCACCTGAGGTAGTACACGCGGTCCCGGTGCAGGCGAAAGCAGTAGGTGCCATCGGGCCGGTCCACCAGCAGCTGGATGTTCTCACCGATGCTGCGGGGACGGACCCCATGAGCACGGCCCGACCCCGGCCCCTTCTGCCACGGCCCCTCCGGTCCCCGGTGCCCGTTCCCTCCTCGTGCCCGGCCCCCCCAGGTTCCAGGCCTCGCGGACCCCAGGCCAGTGCAGGTCCCGCCCCTCTCATCCCCTCGCCGGTCCCCTGTACCCATCCCACTTTCGGTGCCTGGTCCCGCCCGATCCCCGGTGCCCATCCCCTCCTCGGTCCCCGCCGGTGTCCATCCCGTCCCCGAGCCCGGTCACGGGCCCATCCCTCCCGGTCCCCGGGTCCAGCCAACCCATCCCTCCCGGTCCCCGTGCCGGTCCCGGTCCCAGCGGTCCATCCCTCCCAGTCCCTCCCCGGTCCACTCCTCCCGGTGTCCCGGCCCCTCACTATTTCCCGAGCTTCTCGAACACCGCTCGCGTCTCCGCCTCCGTGAGCGGCCGCATCTCCCGCCGGGCGCACGCGGGGCCGCGGGGCCGGAAGGGCCGTGCCCGGAACCGGCGGTGACGCGGCGGGGCCGGCGGCGATGGCGGCGGCGGCGGAGGAGGCGCGGCTGCTGGCCTGGCTGCGCGGCCCGGCCGCGGGGCCCGCCGGCCCCGAGCTCGCCGCCTACGTGTCGGAGCTGGCGGCGCTGGGGCTGGCGGAGCTGGGCCGGGAGCCGGCGCGGCTCGCGGCGGAGCGGGAGCGGGTCGGGGCCGAGACGCGCCGCCTCGCCTTCGAGCACTACCGCGCCTTCATCCGTTCCGCGGAGTGCACCGGCCGCGCCGGCCGCGGCTTCGGCGGCATCGAGAGCCGCCTCGGCAGCCTGCTGGAGCGGCTGCCCGCGCTGCAGGACGCCTGCCGGTGCGGGACGGGCATCGGGGGGGACGGGGGAACCGCGGCGGGGAAGGCGCGGGTGGAAACGGGGACAGGAGGGAGCAGGGATGGGATGAGGCTGGGGCAGGGTCTGCGAGAGCAGGAGCGGCCCTGGGCAGGGGAGGGTGGGCTGGGGGCTGCGAGGGGTCCCTTGCTGAGCTCAGTAAGGGCCGGGACTGGGCTGGGCTGGAGGCAGTGCTGGGGGGCTCCTGGGCAGCTCTGGGAGCAGCCGGTGTAGGTGGGAGAGTCCCGAGGTCCACCCGGTGCAGGGAGGACCCTCCTGCTGATGCCGTGTCAACCCCCAGGACCTTCATGCACGATGCTGAGGCGATTGCCTGCAGCCGGCGGATGAACAGCCTGACCCTGAACCGGCACACGGAGATCCTGGAGATCCTGGAGATCCCGCAGCTCATGGACACCTGTGTCCGCAATGGCTACTACGAGGAGGCACTGGAGCTTGCGGCCTACGTGCGCCGGCTGGAGAGGAAGCACAGCAGCATCCCCGTGATCCAGGTAAGCCCTAGTCTGACCTGCCCCATAATTCAGGTGAGCCCTGTGCTGTCTCTGCCCCAAGGTCCACGTGAGCCCTACTCTGCCCTACACCAGTGCCCCCTGAGTGCTCTCTCCCTCTGCAGGGCATCGTGGAGGAGGTGCGCCAGTCTGCCCAGCTGATGCTGAACCAGCTGATCCAGCAGCTCCGCACCAACATCCCGCTGCCGGCCTGCCTGCGCGTCATCGGCTTCCTGCGGCGCATGGACGTGCTCACCGAGGCTGAGCTGCGCGTCAAGTTCCTGCAGGCGCGTGACGCGTGGCTGCGCTCCATCCAGGCCTCCATCCCCGACCACGACCCCTACGTGCACATCACCAAGACCATCGAGGCCTGCCGGGTGCACCTCTTCGACATCATCACCCAGTACCGCGCCATCTTCTCGGATGAGGAGCCGTTGGTGCCGGCCGAGGGCACAGTGCCTGCCGAGGGGGCCATCTTCCACGGCTGGGTGCTCCAGAAGGTCTCTGAGTTCCTGCAGACACTGGAGCGCGACCTGGACCGTGGGGTGGGCAGCCGGCTGGACTCGCTGCTGGGGCAGTGCATGTACTTCGGGCTGTCCTTCAGCAGAGTGGGCGCGGATTTCCGCGGGCAGCTGGCCCCCCTCTTCCAGCGCGTGGCTGCAGATACCTTTAGGAAGGCAGTGGAGGAGGCAGTGGAGAAATTCCGAGAGGAGATGAACTCCTACACACTGATCTCAGCGCCAGCCGTGCTGGGGGGCGGCGCGGCAGTGCTGGTGCCCACGGCCCAGCCTGGGACGCTGCAGCCCCCCATGGTGCTGCTGGACTTCCCTCCCCTTGCCTGCTTCCTCAACGGCCTCCTCGTTGCCTTCAATGACCTGCGGCTCTGCTGCCCCATCGCCCTGGCACAGGATGTCACTGCCTGCCTGGACAGTGCCCTTGGGGAGGTGAGTCTGGGGGATGGTGCTGGGACTTGTGCTGGGAGAACACGGGATGCTTTTGTCCTGGCCTGAGTGGGTTGGAAAAGCCTCTGAGATCATCGAATCCAACCATTCCCCCAGCACTGCCAAGGCCACCACTAACCCATGTCCCCAGGTGCCACATCCACATGGCTTTTAAACCCCCCCTAGAGCCAGCACAGGGGACAGGCACTGCGCTGGTCCTGCCACACTGTGGCTGGTACAATCCGAGTGCCATTGTCCTTCTTGCCCACCTGGGCTCATGTTCAGCCACTGTCACTCCCAGGTGCCACCTTTGCCTCTCTCCCCAGGTGACCAAAACCATCCTGGCCTTCCACCGTGCGGAGGAGGCGGCTTTCAGTGGGCGGGAGCAGGAGCTCTTTGCCCAGTTCTGCACGGCCTTCCTGGAGGACCTGCTGCCTTACCTGAACCGCTGCCTCCAAGTGCTTTTCCCTCCATCACAGATCGCACAGGCACTGGGTGAGATCCTGGGCTTTGTTTTTCATTATGGGGTGGTAGCTCTGCTCCCATCCATGGTTTTCCCCTGCAACATTCAGTGGGCCCTGCCCTGCTGCTGCTCCTCTATAGGGGCCCTGTTGCCTGCAGCCTCCTCTGACCCCACTCTCCCCTCTCCCAGGCATCCCCCCCACCCAGCTGCAGCGTTTCGGCCGCCTGGGCCGCATCGACGTGGCCGCACTCAGGGAGCCACTGGCTTTCCTGCTTCCACCGGCACCAGGCGAGGAGGAGCCAGCCCAGGAGACCACCCTGTGCCCGGAAGGGGAAATCGTGGCCGTGCCCACCGAGCCCCCGGAGAGCCCCCCCGAAGGGGCTGTGCTGCCAGGTGACCCGGTGGCCACGGGGTAGCCGGGGAGCGGCGCGGCCGGGCCGTGTCTCCCTGTGGCAGTGACCTGTCCCCCAGCCCAGCCCGTCGTCTGCCCGCGGCACCCCCACGCACGGGGCACACCCCCCCCCCCGCACCGAACACACCCTCCCTGTTTCCTGTTTGCACCGGGGCCGCCAGGGGGCGCTGTCCCGCCGCCGGTGCGCGCGCACCCGGTACTCGATGGCGGCGGCGCTGGGACGGGCGGTGGGACGGGCCCGCCCGGCCCTCCCGGTTCCCCCGTGCCGCGGGTGCGGGGACGGGGACGCGGCGGGCTGGGCCCGGCGGGAGCGCTCGTACTGGCGGGCGCTGCGGCGGCGGGTGCTGGGCCCGCCCGTGCCGCCCTTCGCCGCGCCGGTGCAGGTGGGAGCCCCGGTGCTGCGCGGCGCCGCCGCCGCCGTGGCCCCGGAGCAGCTGGGCGGCCCCGAGCTGCGGCGGCTGGCGGCGGCGCTGGCGGCGGGGCTGCGGGGCCGGCCGTGCCTGGGGCTGAGCGCCCCGCAGCTCGGGGTGCCGCTGCGGGTGTTCGCCGCCGAGCTGCCGCCCGACCGCTGCGCGCAGTACCCGGCGGCGCTGCGCCGCGCACACCGCATCGAGCCCTTCCCGCTCCGCCTGCTCGTCAACCCCGCGCTCCGTGTCCTCGACACCTGCCTCGTCACCGCCCCCGAGGGCTGCGCCAGCATCCACGGCTTCTCCGCCTACGTCCCGCGGCACTGGGCCGTCCACGTCTCCGGTACGGACCGACCCTCCCTGCACCGGGCTACTGCCCTGCCCTGTCCCGGGTGGGACCCCGCATCTGCCACTTCCACCCACCACGGGCCCCCATTCTGTCACATGTCCCCCCACACTCTCACAGGTCCCCCTTTGTTCCATGGGGTATATCCCTTGGTATATCCCATGGTATATCCCTTGGGGAATATACCCCACTCTCACATGGTCCCCCCATTCCCACACAATCTCCCCATTCTCTCAGGGGTCCCTCCAATTTCACACAATACTCTCACACGGGTTCCCCTTTTTGGCCCCCCCATCACACCCCCCCTAGTCCCCCCAGCTCCCCAACAAGTTCCCCTGGCAGCAGGCATGGACGAGCTCGGGGTGCCGGTGAGCTGGGAGGCCGTGGGCTGGGCTGCCCGCATCATACAGCATGAGATGGACCACCTGGATGGGATCCTCTACATTGACCGCATGGACCCCCGCACCTTCACCAACGTGGGCTGGATGGAACTCATGGACTGACCCTACTGTGCCCACCCCCAGCTGCCCCCTGTGTGCCCAGGGCCCCTCTGTGCAGTGGGCCCTCTCTAACCCTGAAGAAACAACCAACACGGAGCCACAGACCAGGGGCTCCCACTCAGGTTTATTGCAGCCAATACAGACTTGTGGCCTCAGTGTGGCTCTGGCCCATCCTGCCCACCAGCACCCTAGGCTCATGGTGGGGGGCAACTGGGGGGTCCAGCCCATGCTCCCCTGGGCACTGGAAATCACGGGTCTAGGAACAGCCTGCTGCCATGGCCGTGCTGGGGAAAGGTGAGGGAATCTCTCCCTCTGGGGCTTCTTTGGGGCACATGGGCACGGCATGGGTGGGGCTAGGGGGTCAGTGGGGCTGAGGGGAGCCCTTGGGGACATAGGTGGCTGGCTCGGTGTTACTGGCTGGTGGGCTGCTCCAAACAGCCCCTGCTGTAGGCACAAATCCCTGTCTAGGATGGCTGGAGCATGGGGAGCCCCACACACCCCTGGGGACAGGCAGAGACCTTGGCCCTGGGGCAGTGCATTTTGGGGGTGGGGGGCTGGGCTGGGACCCTGGTGTGGGCAGAGCCTTGGGGAGCATCTGGGTGCTGGCTGAAGCTTTTGGATTGTTTTTATTTTCATATAAACGAGACGAAACCCAAAGCAGCATTAATTTAAAAAATAAAAAAGAGCAAGAAGAGTGGAGCGCAGCCAGAGGGGCACCCAGCTGCCCAGGCCATGCTCAGACCCCCACCCCGTAGTGTGAGCCCCCCGGGCTGTGTCCCCGCGCCCGCTGGGTGCTGCAGTGCGATGGGAGGGAGTGAGCGAAGATGAGTCGGTTTGGCACGCCTGGGGAGGGGGGGCAGAGCAGGGCCCGTGGCCGCCCCAACCCCACACCCCCCCATGCCCCCCTCAACCTTCCTGTCCAAAGTCCTCTGTGAATTTCTTCACCTTGAGGAGATCCTCGGCGTTGACGGTGGGGCGGGTGGTGGCCAGCGAGCGCAGCATGTCCGACTGCAACACAGGTAGGGGGGCACACAGGTCAGACCGGGGGCATGGGTAGGGACTCCCCTGCCATGGCAGTGGGGCAGCTCTGCCCACACTGGCACCTTTGCCTCATGGCAGCAGCACTGGCTCTGCAGGTGGGAGCTGCCTGGAGGACCCAAGGCCCTTTCCTGGTACCCAGCTCTCCTTGGGGAGCTCAGCACCACAAGGGGATAGACGGGGGGGCTGTGCCCACTGCCAGAAGCCACAGCACTGCCTAGCCCTTGGCCTGGAGGAGGAACAGGGAACTGGTTGGGCCTGAGCCACAGCACTGTTGTGCCAGGCTGAGCAGGTGCCCAGTTCCGCATCCCAGAGCTGACACTCACCATGCAGACAATGGGCTCCATCAGCTTGTCACTGGGCACCTCCATCCAGGTCATCTCGGTGGCCCCAGGGTCACCGGGCGAGCACGGCGTCAGGAGATCATCCACGAGGACGCCGGGGGTGGTGCGGGAGGGGCCGCGGACCTGCGCAGAGCCACAGGCAGTTGGGACAGTGCTCAGGGCAGGACAGCAGCCACGGGGCCCACCCCACCCTGCGGACCCCCCCGGAGCAGAGCCCTGTTCACCTTCTTGAAGTGTGTGGCCGACTGCACCTTGCGCACAGGCTGCATGAGGGCGTCCCGCACGATGATGCTGATGTCGGCCCCCGAGTAGCCATCGGTCTTGCGGGCGAGCTCCAGGATGTCGGCGTCCTTCAGGGAGTGCGGGGTGTTGCCCAGGTGGAGCCGGAACATCTGGGCCCGCGCTGCCTCCTCGGGCAGTGGGATGTAGATTCGCTTCTCAAACCTGGAGTGGGGGGGAGCCCCACTATGAGCCCGTGCCAGCCCTGCCGGGAGCTCGGGGGCTGGGAGCTGCATGTCCTCCTCACCTTCTCCTGATGGCTGAGTCCAGCACCCAGGGGATGTTGGTGGCACCCAGCACCAGGATCCCGTCGCTGCTGTTCCCCACACCTGCAGGCAGATGACTCAGAATAATCCCCGGGGGTTCTCTGAATCCCCAGCTTCTGCTAGCCCCATCTTGCTACCCCCACCACCCTCCCAGGACCCCCATCCCGGGACTCCACCCACCCTGCATCTGCACCAGGAACTCGGTCTTGATGCGCCGGGCTGCCTCGCTCTCGTTCTCGTTGCGGGAGCCACACAGCGAGTCCACCTCATCGATGAAGATGATAGAGGGCTTGTGCTGCCTTGCCAGCTCAAACAGGTTCTTCACCAGCCTGGGAACAAAGCAGGGGATGGGTCCCCACTCAGGGACCCTCCCCAGTGTCCAGCACCCATGGCAGCCCCAGGGTGAGGAGCCCCATGTTCCTCCTGCCCTGAAAACCCTGCACTGACAGTGAGGCACAGCCCCTCAAGGGGCTCTGCTCTCCCCTGGGAACCTGCTCAGGATTAAAAGTAACTATAAATATAGGATATTAGAAATTAATTGTGTAGAGCGAAGTTTAATTGTAACTTGGTCACGGCTTGGCAGGGGTGGCCCCTGCCCAATGTGTGGTGTAGGTGAACTGTACATGAACTCTAAGCATGGATGGCTGAGCAGGGGAGAAAAAAGACAGATGGGAAACATTCAGATATGGCTGAGACCCTGGAGGGCCCAAGACTGCCCCAAGCTAGAGGATGAGAATGGAGAAAGAGTCCAATGATGTCTTAGAAGACCCCAGCCCACAAATCGCTGTTGGACTGAGAGGTGTGTGAAGATGGGGGGCACAGGCTGTGAGGGGATAGAGACCCCTCAAACAGGACTGCTTTGTTCGGAGTTTGCCTCTGGAGGAACCAGCTCCCAACACTTCTTAAACAGCCCTGTTACTGGGGTTCACTGATGCTGGTGGTTCCTGCCCCAGCCCAGACCAGCCTGGAGCCAGCCTCAGCCCCACATCCCTGCTGCCAACTTACTTCTCGCTCTCCCCCAGCCACTTAGACATCAGGTCAGAGGATGACACGGAGAAGAAGGTGGAGTTGTTGGCCTCGGTGGCCACAGCCTTGGCCAGGTAGGACTTGCCAGTGCCGGGCGGCCCAAAGAGCAGGATCCCGCGCCAGGGCGTGCGCTTCCCTGCAGCAGAGCCTGGCCTCAGGACACCCCATCCCCGCACCTGGATCCACACTGGGATCACCCGGGGGGGGGGGGTGTGTCAGCTCCTGCATGGCCCCTCCCCACTGCCACAGCCTCACCTGTGAACAGGTGTGGGAACTTGATGGGCAGGATCACAGCCTCCTTCAGGGCTTCCTTGGCTCCCTCCAGTCCGGCCACGTCACTCCACCGTACATTGGGCTTCTCCATCATGATGGCACCTGTGAGGGGGTAGCTCTGCTCACACAGGCACCCAGAGCTGGCAGAGCCAGAGGCCCCACCCCTCCCCACACCTCCCCTGGGCACACCAACCGATTTGGGGGTGGCCAGACTGCAGCAACACACCCCTGGAACACAGTCCCACACCTGCTCCCCTTCCCACAGCCACCCCTGTGGTGGCCATCAGGGATTCCCTCCTCAACCCCAGCAGGTCGAGCCCAGTGTGGCCCCTCACCCATCAGCTGCTCCTGAAGCTTCTTCTTCTCGGGATTCTCACCCTCGCTGTCACTGTCACTCCTAGGGACAAGGGACAAGGATCAGGAGTGGGACGGGCCCTGGTGTGGCAGCAGGGCCCTGACAGCTCCGTGGCCGTGCAGGGGGTCCCTCACCCCCCAGCCCCTCACGCACCCCTTGTTGTCATTCTGG